CCTGTGGTTGTTTCCTGGCTAACAGATCACTATACTTAAGTGTTAGTTCCCACAATTCCCTGAGAGTATTTTGCATAATCTAGTCTAACCTCCACTCTTCCACAGAGTCAAGAATTCACAAAAAAACAAAGATTTTATTTATTATTATATAAGAATGTTGATTTTACAAGTTCAATACAGAAAAGACAACTAGTAACACATGCAGTGGGTGTTGATACTAAGATTATAAAAACACTGTTTTTTGCAAAGCCCATAAAAGTTACTCTCCATAGAGTTCTAATATATATCCCAAAATGGGCCTAGGCAAGTGAGATTTTTAGGAGGGGAAAAAACAGGGTCAATTCCTCCCTCCGGTAATAGGGAAAATATCAGCATTATCATTTTTGGATGGAATTCCCTTTTAAGTGTTGACCTGAGGGATTCACGAGGACAGTCAGAGCCCTGCTTCAACTTGAATTGCCTCTGCAAATAATCTGCTGTCTGAGATAACAACAGGATTATTTGTGCCTAACCCTGCCCAAAAGGTCAAAGAAGGCTGCCTGTAATAACAACAACGTGTTCGATATCTTTGATATCATAAATGAACAGTGACACCTCTAATTTCAAAACACATTACTAGCTTCGTTTTTGTCGATATCCAAAATTAGGTCATCCATTGTTAATGACAGTCAATTTTCTGTTCTCCCTTTGGTTTAGATTCCAGAACTGTAATGTTTTTCTTGCCTGTTTTGCTTTCTGCAAGTGGAAGAAACACAATGCCATTCAGTCGGAACATCATGAAGAATGAAGACTAGATTCTTTTTCTACATGATAGGAATTTTTTCTAAAAATGCAAATAATATAAAATAAATAATGCAAGTATATTCCATTGCGATTTATATGTTAAGAGCTCAGGGGATGTATTTTGAAGTTTCTTTTGACTTCAGTCAACAGAACTGGGTTTCAAGTTGATCTCAATTCAGTTCAAAACTTCAAAATCACATTGTCTTCCTTTTCCTAGTCATTTCAGGTTCTCTTGAGAAAATGAGTTTCAGTAAGGGATATCAATCTGTTTTCATATTATGAACCATTTCCGCTTTCTATTCCTAGGATCCTTAAGTATAGACTTCAACACAGTGCTTTCACATACATGTAACTGCATCTGAAAAGTAGTCATAATATATGCAGTTACTATAAAATACTTTAACGTATAAGTGTTATACATAAAGATGTAAAACACTGAATATTTAGAAAATATAACTGTTTTAAAACAGAAAACAAATAATAGGAAACTTTTTCAAAGCATTACTCAAAAACCCGTTATGTCAATACATACAGTGTACATAACTGAAGACCATACAGAGAGTATAGCAGGTAGTGTTAAACTCCTAACTTATTCCTATACTGGACACTTGGTTTCTGGAGAACTTACATTTAAAATAAACTAAATGAATGCGTTGAACACATCTTGCCATACTTTTTTTGTATATACTTCCAGTATGAAGTCCTACAAACGCATTCAATTTCATTTGTCTGAACGTTTTAACAACTGGAAAAATATTTTACATGTAGGCAACTGATTGATTGAGATTATGTATATATATATATATATATATGAACTGATGAGCAAATTACAGAGTGTGTTTTGCCTAAAAGAGAACTCTTACATGTGCACACGCAAGCTGAAACTCTGACCGAGGATTCAAAAGTAAAAAAAAATCCCTGAAAACTTTGCATAAAATACCATGACTGTCTTCTAAACTTCTTCGGCAAGTAAATTTGTTTGTTTACAAAGTGCAAAGGTATTATTATGAGTGTCGTGCTGGAACGGCATACATGCTTGCTATCATCCTAGACTATCAACTTCAGTCAAAATGATTATAATCGATAGGACTTTTACCCAAAATGGCACACCAAATACTGTACATCAATCTATATCACAATATCCTTTACATTTCATCGCGTCAAAGGAAACTTTTTTAATGCTTACAGTGGTTTGCCATGTGTTCGGCGTAATACTTGCTGTGATATATGTGTTTATATGTAACTTGCATTCATTACGTTCCATGAGGAAAAACTGTAATATATTAACAGTTCAGAATTATCAGTGCTTAAAAGCACAAAGGTGAAAGAATCCATAAAAATGATTATAGCTAACATTACAAACAATCAGTAAAATGTTTTAATATAAACTTCAAACAATATGAACAAAAATGCAGAAGAAAAATCAAATTAATGTAAATTTTTATGCTATATATATATATATATATATATATATACACATACATCTGTATTATATTGATAATATTTTCAATCACTCTAAAGAACTGCAAACTTTTAACTAAAATTTCGTTGTGAACGTTGTAATACCTAAGTAACTAAGTGTGGTATCTAATGTAGCATTCCTAAGTGTTTATTTGCCGATAACCCTTTCCATAGGTAATAAAATGAGCATTTTCACATTTGGATCACAGCTGGTAGCAGGCAGTAATATACTATACTCTGTCTTTCACGATCAAACAGTGATGCTTTTTCATAGCACCAGTGATTCAAGGGAATGAACAAAATAATCAGAACGTCCAATGGGGCCCCTCTTTTTTAAATGAAAAATAAAATCAATAATAATACAGGGATTTTCTTTTTAAGAAGATGACCACAGGGAGTGAAAGACGCACGGGGAAATGTTCAGTCAGCATTGAGATGTGAGATCTTACAAACTGATTACTCGTATAGCATAAATCATTACGCTCTGTGTACTTTGCCGTGTAGTTTTCCACGCAACAGAAACGGTAACAGAAATGTCTCTGGTGACGTCAAAGGGTGATTTTTTTATATAGATAAATACAATGTTGCTTCTCTTCTCTAACTGCATGTTGTACAGTTTCCACCAGACATGCTAAATTGGTGAACAGAAGTGATGGAGCATGGTTTTCTGAGTGGGATTCCCCTTTAAGGCAAACAGCCCTACTACGGATTCAGCACAGCAGATAAGCAGAACAAAGCAACGCCAGCTGGTGGGATAAACAAGCAAACGCGAGTTTACGTGACAAAACAACCACCAACTGCTGCAAAGGGGAAGAGCACTGGCTTTTACACCTGCCCTCAGCAATTCACCATCCATCCTCCTCAGATCTGAATAAGCAAAAAAAAAAAAAAAAAAACCTGATGTCTCAATAAGGCCTGTCAGTAGACCTTGTCAAAAACCATGACACTCTGAGGAGTGATACTGTATATACCTACCTGACTAAGTGATTTCTTAATTCTGAAAAAGATTCTTCCATTTGATATATTATATTATAATCTAAGAAAATCATTAGTACTATTTCAAATACAAAGGCCATTAATTAATCACTATGTTCAAGCTACAACTAAAACGTGCAATATTGAATGATACTGAGGCTTTTTGACATAGGCCTATCCGTATAAACAAAATCAAGGGAAATTTCCAGTTAATTAAGCTGACATACTTGTAGGCCTATGGTTCTATGATTTCAGTTTTTTAATTGTGTATAACCAATTAAAAATAAGTAAACATAGACCAGTCTGCTAAAGTGTGTTCTTTTAAATGTACTTTTATATTCTTTTGGTTTTGCTTCCACTCATTAAATTAAAGAATTAATATTTAAATATACAGCGGGAGCTTTAATATAGTTTGCCTGTGATAAATTATGCATGTACCTTTGTAAATTTCTCTTATGACAAAAACTAAGTACAAAAGGAACTTTGCAAGTGCAAATAGCTGTGGAAACGCTCCGTTTTCACGATGGTGCTAAAAAAGAACAAAGTATTATGCAAAGACAGTACTTGTCTGTCAACAAAATGTATTCAGTTGTGCAGCAGAAGTCCGGGGTTTAGCAGGCGTTTACATGTCTATTCAAACAACGCCACTGAGGACGCTAAAGCAACAGGAATATACATGCATTCCTAAAAGAAGTAACTAAAAACGAGTTTGGCATATTTATACAAGGCGAATGGGATAAGGCTGTTGTAGGATAATGCACCTTAAGTGGAGACCTTCAAAAAAAGGTGAAAAATGTATTTTTGGATGAAAAATTAAAAATAGTCCCGATGGGGGGCAAATCAATAACTAGGGAGATTACGACTTAATAATTCATTAACGGGTGATTGAAATTTCCTAAAATTTAGTTTTTTTTTCTTTCTTTTTTTTAAAGTAAAGTAAACCTGCACTCACCGATCACCATCATGGTATAGCACTTCATCTGGTTACGAAAAGATAATCAATCTACCATATCAGTTTCATTTCCAGTAATAAACGTGGCCTGTAATCTTTTCTACCTGCCGTGCAGAATGGCGCTGCTTAGAAGCAATTCATTCATCCCATACGTGTGTGTGTAATACGAATTACACTGTCCCATGGAGAACTTACACTAAATCTATGAAAAATCATGACAACTGCTCCCGTTAAAGGAAGTGCATTGGAAGGTTACCTGTAATTATCCAGCGTTTTTAGAAAACCCAGCAACACTGCAAAAAAACAATTCAAACGTCTATTCTGTGTTTGCTAAATGAACCTGCTATTATTACTTACTGCCACGAATAATAATAATAATAATTTATCATTATTATTATTATTATAAATAATGCTCGTATTTTAATATTTTACTTTAGTTAGGCAGTTGACTTCATTGTTGAAATAATACCGAGTGACGCAAAATCTCCTTCCATTTCGCTTAGTATCATTCTTTCTGGGACTCAAACATTTGCCGATGCACAGCGCTCCATTTCTTTATAAATTACGCGATTTCCACGCACAACGAATAAAAACGCTTTTAACGCACCTTGCAGTACAACTGATAATTTAACTACCACATGGCCATAACGCATGATAACCTAGTTTATACTAAGTGTGAGTTTTTTTTGTGCCAAAACGTTTGATATTTCGACCTTTCAACCTTCATTTTAACAGAAGATTTCCTAAAACGTCCAAAGAGGAAATAGAGAACAGCAGAACGCAACGTGCATTTTGATGTACACAAAAATCACTTCGGAAAGGTACTTACTTGAGATTTTGTGAGCTCCAAATAACCGATTCCAGGGATTTCGCTTGCGGTAATGTAGATCTGCACATAGCAATCAAAATCCAGAGGTAATACTTCCACCCACAGCTGACGCCAGCCATTCTTACTGAAGATTGAAGGATAAACGAAATCGAGTATTAAAACAAAAGCGATAAGCAACAGCGGTAAATCCTGTTGGAAAAGTCTGTCGGATTGGCAACGTTGCCAAATAGGTTACCGACAACCTTACGAATGCAAATCCGATCGTCTCGGATGCGTGTCCTTGGTTAAACTGCAAAACGAGTCATGGTGTTTTAAAAAGTGTACCTGTCAGACTGCGGCACGGCAAAATTCGTCTTCTTTTTATAATGTCCCGTTTCAGCAGGCCGGCTGCCTATGTCAACCGGTCTCCAAATATCAATCCTGTGAAATGCATAAAGTTTCATAAGTCGCCTGTTCTGCCGCAGCCACCGGGAGCCCGTTCGAAGTCAGCGCTCCCGACTCACTAGTCAAGTTGCGCTTTGGCGATTTCCAGCAATAATTGGTATCACATAACGCGTTTTCTCATAGCCGTTACCGGAAAATCTCTCTTCTCGGCCGGCACATTTAATATGTGCATCGGCGACCTGTTGATGTATTTCGTCAAGTCTGGTAAACACATATCATCCCTGGATAACGCTATCCCAAAAAAAATGTTCGTCTTAAGTCCCAAGTATGGTCCACGGGGTGATCTTTTATTCCTTTTGCCCACCCAGCATCAAAAAAATAAGAAGGAAAAGCAACGATCCAACGCTATCTTTCAGGATTCCCGTGTCGTGCAATTTCAGTGCTCTGATTGCTCTGAAATCGCCGTGCCCTGTGCATCACCAGAGCGCCAAGTCCGGACAAAACTACCGTATTCCGGAAAAAATACAAGGATCGAGCCGTGCGATGACAGCCGCGCTTCTGAGCAGAAGAACCTGCGATCCCCGTCCGACGTGCGAAGACGGTGGTTCCACACTATCCTATCGCGCACTTCCCCGGCGAGCGGTCGCCCTCATGTGCTGCGGATGCGGTCGGCGATGCACTCGCAGCGGCTTCCTATGCATCCCGGACGCCGACTTCTCCCCCCTCGCGTAAACTGCAAATGTAATCCGACGCCTGGGCGAGCGGAGGACCAGCCCCGCCGCTCTAACCAATCACCGGCGCTTTCGGGGATCCGCGTCCGCGATTACAGCTCCACCGTCCGACAATTAATCCGGAGGGTGCGCGCCCACCCCACGCCGCTCCAGTACCTTCGGACAGCTCTGTCCCAGTAAACGAGGAGAGGTAGCCCTCTGATCACGTGACTATAATAATAATAATTATTATTATTATTATTATTATTATTTGTTATTATTGTTTATTTATTTTAAAACTTTAAGAAGAATTTAAGCAACGCCCACTATGAAATGGAACGCTTTTGAATTCTTGATTGATTTTTGATTTTGTTGCCTTCTATTAAAAAAAAAAGTTCCACTGGACATTTTTAATAATAGTTAAGCAGTTTGGTTTAGTTTATGGTTTTGTGGGTTTTGTATCCTTTTTCAGAACGAATGCCATGTTAAATTGCCGATCTCAAACGAGGTCTCGAAACAAAATATTTTATTTATGTTTAGTAGGCAATGTCGTCCTCTATCGGTGACATTGGAACATGCTCGCACGTCAGTCAGCTGACAGCTAAATGTGTTGTTCTGGGTGATGTTTAAATGATGTAAAAATATGAATGTTTTCTATCTTAACACTGATTATCATTTCTGAATCTGGAATGGATGCGGCGGTAAGGTAAATTATTTCCTGCTGGCTCTGCCTCTGGGCTACAAGCTAAATGTATGAGCTGGATGCCGCGGTGGAAAGACCCCGCTGATTGCTCGTGCTATTAGCGTAGGTGGAGGGTGTTAAACCGAGCAAACCAGCTTAGATTAAAAGGGGACACTGAAAGAAGCGACAAAAACACCTCCTTAATGCAAATGATAATGTTCTGCATTCCCAGGAAAGGAGACGTTATCATCCTCCTCGATACTAGAGTAGGCGGGGATATTGCAAATGCAAATGTAATGAATATGGCTACCATTCTTATGGTAACTAACACCATGACGGGAAGCCTCGAGGACTTTGCACCACAAACACAGAGGGGACACCACAGTCTGCCTTACTCCGTCCTTGCTGGACTCTCTTACACGCACTGTTTGAAGACATAAGACATCTGTGTATATGGATGTGACATGATTTAACAGTTACTTCAAAAAGCCTTTTGCTTCTTCTTAAGTTTTATATAACCAGCATTTGCTACAGGGGACTAGGCTGTTAATGGTGAGTTACAGACGCATAAAACTCAGTCACATCACCCACAGAAACCTTCTTGCGGACATATGTGTTCGACATGTTTTCCAGCGTTACACAGATAGTCCTTCGGGCAGGCACGTGCAGAGGGGGGGGG